TTTCAAAACATATATATCTATAAGTTTTGAAAGGGTTTAAACACACACATAAGCTATTCAATGAAGGTGTATAAGCTTATGAAGTTTAAAGACTTATTGAAGCATCACGTAATAGAAATTTGTACTTCAGTAAGGAAGTCAAGAGTATTGATTTTCAGAAGTCCAATTGATTTCTGGGTATATGTCAAAGTTAGTGGGAACATAACTGTTATGCTAGTATTGCATATACTGTTCTTAGGGAACAAAGTTTTGAATTTGCAAATTGCAAGGTTGGGAATTGTTTCACTATGATAGCTTAAAGGAGAGGGCACTCGTAGTTTGTTTTGATTGTAAAAGTTTATATCGTATAATTTGATAGAACTTAGTCATAGACATATGTGAATATCATGTTGAAATGGTTCAACATAGGAAATTCTATATATGGAAATATTATAGCAAGAGATTGAACAGATATCGGATATAACGAGTCAAGTCACATGTGCTTCAGATATAGTATTGATTACATATTCTATAATATTTAGTTATTCGGATTTTTCCAAATTGTTTGAGCATTGATAGGAAAAGGATTAGAACTTTTCTGTGACTGGAGTTGTTAAACAACTGTCAAAAACAGTCTGAGGTTTACTAAAGATTGGCTGCTTATGGATAGTTAGAAGTATGGTATTATTTGGGAGGACCATAGTGACATGTTTTAGATTGAGATGATTCTTGGTCAAAATTGAGGGTCATATGAGAATACGGAAAGATTTCCAAAATGGGAGTTGATTGTTATGTCTACATATGAATTGGAAACTTTAATGCAAGAGAAGTGTTCAAGGAGTGTACCTTGAATTTGAAACTTCACTACCATGGAATTGTTTCTAGTAACAAAGTTTCAAGGGAATATTATGTAATATCGTTGGCTTAGTCTTTATGACTTTGAAGCCTTGACATCATAGAAGGTCAATGTGTGTAAAGTTGGAATTCCAATATATATTAAATATTAACAAGAATTTGGAATTGTGAAATGAACATCATTGGAATAATGTCTAATTGATCTATTAGCAAAGAAATGACCATAGAGAGGCATAGTATGTATGTTCATAACATGACATAACTAATGTTATTTAAATCAAGTGGTTAGTTGATTGCTCGAAACAGTATACAATGAATAAATTCGTAATTATTATGGTGATTAAATAATAGAGATTATTTATATTCAATAGTTTTGAAGCCATAGTTAGTCAGTTTCTTATTGTGTTTCACTTTGCATGTTTTACTTCCTGAATAATTTAATTATTCAAAGTTCCACAGTTGCTCATACTTTAGGAAGTACGTAATGAATTAAGACTGCCATAAATTGAATTGTAGATTGTCTATGAGGATTAGACATTGCAATAAGATTGCTACAATGTTCCTGAGTACTTAGAAAATGGGGGGTTTTGAGTATTGGATAAACTCGCACTTAGATAATTACTCCATGGATTCTATCACGGGTAATTATGAGACAATAATATATTATATTCTTAAAACGGAGATATAAGTTGTAATTTACAAGTCGGTTGTGCATTGGTATTGTGAAAATGCATCAGTACCATGATGTTATAAAACATAGTGTCATGCATGATTTGATGAGTAAAAGATACAAACATATGAGTCGAAATTTATTCATTCCTTTTGAATTAGCAAGAAAAAGTGATATCTTTAGGGCCCTCGATGATTTGATGTTGACATTCATGTGCAAGGCATTGCTCAGACTGAATTGATATGTTCAATTAGTAGTTTGAATCTGGTCATCATAAATCGTAAATTAGGAAACATAATCTTGGACTAAAAGATTGATTTGATCCATGTCTGACAGTCATATGATATCTTGCAGAATAGAGGAATATTTGATCACTTATCTTAGGACCAATTTATGATTGGATCAGAGCTTGGCAGTTGCTTCGGAAAGCACACTTTGTTGTGTTACACTTGTAATTTAGGTTTAGAATTATACAAGTGGGAGATTGTTGGATTAGGTGTCTAAGATAATAACTAAATTTGTATAATCTTGAATAACTAGCAAAGTCTTTTTGGGTTGCCCTCATAACCAGAAATAGCTAGAAATGATATTAGGAGAAAGAGAGATAAATAATTTGTTAATATATTATATGATTAATATATTAATTGGAAATAAATAATTTATATGTTAATTTATTATGTAATTAATAAATTAACATGAGATCAGTTGTTATATAATTGATTTGTTAATTTATATGATTAATAAATTAATAAGAAATCAATTAGACTTAATTAATAATTGATCTAGAGTTCTCCAAATGGACAATTAGGAGACTAGATAATTACCTATTTATGGGTTATCATTATCTATATCATTATCTAGGGTATCTTAGGGATATCCATAAACTATATAAAGATCCCTTGGGTTAGAATTTTCGTATGTCTCCTTCTTAGAAGCATATGGATGAAAATTCTTAGTCTTTTCTTGTTGGTGATTTGTTATCATCAATGTTATTTAAGTGTAATGAGATTACTTTGTTGACCAAAAGTGATATTGATAAATATTAAACAACTAGGAAATGTGGGGAGTACACACTTGTTTAAGTTTGATCAAGTTTCAAAGTACACTATCATTTAGGGGCGAAGCCCCTAAAGGAATGGGGGTCCGGGGGCAGTGCCCCTGGGAGCGGGGTCCAAGGGATGGCAGCCGCTGGCAGGGTCCAAGGAGAAAAGCCCCTAGCTAGGGTTTTTAGGGTATGTTACTATATTAAAAATGCATCATAAAATCGATTTTTCAGAGAATTAGCCATTGCCTTAACCCTTATCGAAATATCCGTTTTATGTCAGTTTTTCTTTTTTGGTTTATGACAGTTTGAAACTGTCATATGATAGTTTCCAGACAGAGATGTAAAAGTCAGTTTTGGTCTCATTTCTGGTACGTACAAAAACATCATTAAAACACTCTTTGTTCTTATCTCTCTGAGTATTATCCGATTAAACAATATTGGGAGTACCACCCAGATACTTTAATTTCAAAGTGTTTAACACGATTCTCAGACTTCCAAGCCTTTCTATACCCAAACTCCTAACATTTCTCTCTCTCTCTCCCTCTCTCTCTCTCTCTCTATATATATATATATATATATATATATATATATATATATATATATATATATATATATATATATATATATCCTCTTCATTCTAGGGCTTTTAGGGTTTTGGGTATAAGTCATTAGAGGCATGAGATTTCTGATGCTCGCTTTCCAAGTTTTTCTACAAGGAGTTTAAAGTGATTTGTTTACTACAGCAAATCAAAAGGTATGTAACCCTAATTCTTCTAATTTGATTATACTAGGGATCCATTAGGTTCTCAAGTTATTTTGTTATTCATGGCAGTTACATTAAAAGTGTTAAATATATAGATTATTTAGGTAGCATGTGTCCTTAATCGTTAAGTGAAATTACACAAGCAAATTGTTATTGTAATCTATAAAACTCACCACTTTTGCGGTGCACTTTGTAGTTTGTAATTTTCATAAACCGCATTATGCGGTACAATTTACGGTTTTGCCTTTAAACCGCACCAAACCGATACGCGAACACCCATAGTATTAGCTAAAAAACCTGATTCTAGCTGAAAAAATAGTTGTTAATTGAAAAGTTAGTTGATAAAATAAAGTTTGGTAAACTAGTTGATAAGTTGTTGAAATATATAAAATGATATGAAATTGCATGTAGAAACGTTACCAAGGAGTTGGAAATTGGTCATTCCACTAAGAGGTTGAGGTTTCAAGTCTCACTATAGACAATGTAGTAGTTTAGTAGTATAATTTATTTTGTGTGTTTTAGCCATTCAAAAATATTTAAAAAAAATAAAAAATTAAAGGTGTATTTAGAAATTATAAAAAAAAATAAAAAAAAAAAAAAAAAAAAAAAAAACTCATGAAAAGCTAATCTAAATAATTTCTTAAAAAACTAGTTTATAATCTATTTTTTGTCTTGTTAAATACACTACTTAAAAAATCTCGAAAAATAAACTAACGTATTAGCTAATAGGGGTTGATATTTAGCGTTAATGTCACCAAATACCAAAATAATTGTTAATTAGAATCCACTAGAGATCACCAAATTTTGTTGTAAATGTGAGTGAAATAAATTCAATTTATAATCAAAATAACTTGGAGATCGAATTGGAGGATCTTGCAGTTATATTTCTTGGAATTTATTTGCTCCCTTATCACAAATAGTTTCACAAGATAACTGATAAACTTATAGGAATAAGAATATTAAGCAAAATACAAGATTTGTATTGTCATTGTTCAATTTCATAAGAATGTTCAAATGTGAAGTATATTAAGTATTTATGCTTGTAGTACGCTCGATCAAAATGGATAATGATGAAGAAATTTATGGTTTTTGGAGATTTAGATCATTCATATCCGTGTAATGTTGTCTTTTAGGCTAGGAGGTGTAATCTCACACTTGTTACGATCCACATCAGTGTGATATCATATTTGTCACACTGCTTGCTACATTTGTCATTTTCATAACGTGGATTGCCATACTTGTCATTTGTTTTTTTAAAATTAATTTATATTAAAAATAATCAATTTTACAATTTAATTTAAAACCACAATTTCATTAATTCAACGAAAAATACAATAACCACGCCCAAAAAAAAAACTTAGAATTTAAAATAAAAAACATAGAAACTAAAATTACCAAACCTAGATAGACATAAAGGAGATCTTCATTGGAAAATTGACCTTCCAAATCGTCGATCGGTTCCGCGTAAGATCGATATGATCGAAGTTCCAAATATGTTCCGCCAAGTCTCTATGAGAACATGATGCGTCTCAGCATCATGAATTATTGTCCTCATCGTCAAGTACTCCACGCTTCCAACCTCAAAAGCTTGTGTCGGTGGAACAATCTCGTTTTCATTATACTCACATATTGCATTTCATTTATCTTCGATAATCATATTATGCAATATGATACAAGTATACATCCACTCATTTCTTCTCCTCCATATAGGGCACGAGATATTTAAGAATATGCCAACGTTTTTTCAAAGCCCCAAATGCTTGTTCAACATCCTTTCTTACATTCTCTTGAGCTCTCTTAAACTTCAACCTTCTGCGATCATTTAGACAAGAAAATGACTTCACAAAATATGCACGCTCCGGATATATCCCGTCGATAAGATAATACCCAGATACTTGAAAGGAAGAGTCTGGTTCAATCTTGTTATACATATCGTCAAATAACGGAGACATGTTAAGAACATTAATGTCATTGAAGGAGCCAGAAGAGCCAAAGAATGCATGATATATCCACAAATCCTATGAGGTCATCGCTTCAAGTATAACAGTTGGATAATCATGATCGCCTGCAGTGTAATGCCTTTTTTGGGCATTCGGACGACAACCCCATGCCTAGTGGAGACAATCTAGACTTCCTAATATTCCAGGAAATTCGTGCACATTTGAATGATGAGCATACAACTATTGGATGTCACTACAAGTAGGTTTGCACAGATATCATGGACCATATAATCTCATGACATACTTGCAAAATTTGTGAATGCTAGTTCGTGTAGTACGTTCGGACATCTTAGGATTCTCATCTAGTGCATCGGGGCAAGTGACATATGCTAATTGACGAAGTGCAGCGGTGCATTTTTGTATAAGTGTAAAACCAACTGTACCTCTAGCATCCCGTTTTTGCTAAAAAAAATGGACACGTTGTCGTGCATTGTTGACGCTACGTAAACACCGAGCTTTATGCATACAAAACCGGTGACAAAAATAATATCCTTGAAACATGGTGTCCTTGACAAAGTAATCATGCATGATTCGTTCATTAGCTGCCTCACAACATCTATGTATGTATCTTCTCTTCCTTTGGTGTGCAATCTCCGTATTTTGTTGTTGTAGTTCTTCGATCTACTGTTCCACCTCCTGAATGACCTCTGTGTTTGTTTCAAGCAAGACATCAAATATGTTCGATGAAGATGATGATGAAGACATTTTGAGAGAAAATATTTGAGTTGTAAAATGATTTTGATGAGATAAATGGGTAAGGTAGTGGCATTTATATGAGTTTAAAAAAATAATGAATCAAGAGTCGTTGTCAGCCACCCCATTGTTCAATTCAATTTCCTACACTCGGTATTTAGCTGAGTTGCCGAGCCGAGCTCGACATGCCGAGTACTCGGCCCGGTGTGCGCCGAGCCCGCCGAATCCACATCGTGTAGCCTTAACCATGATATGTGAGCTTTTGCAATCATTACATCAGTGCAATTAATTACACTATTTTATACGTATTTTTTTTATATTTAAAATTTTACAATACTCATGAAATGTTAATATTAAAGTATTTGTTTAATAATTTATAAATGAATAATGTAATACTAAATATAAAATAATTAGAAAGGTAAGTATATAAAATAAAATAACTTTAAAATAAATATTGAAAGATGATAGGGCTTGCAAACAATCTTACAGAAATTGAAAGAACTTGATAAACAATTACGGAAGTTTTTAAAATAGATCACTGTGACATGGCTTTTCTTAAAAGTGGTTGCAAGCTTGCGTTTGGTACGCTTTGAATTTTTAATGTACATAAAGATAAACAATTACGAAAGTTTTTAATGTTTACATGTTCTCTCTTATTTAATTTATTTATTTATTTATTTATTTTTTAATTGTGTGTGTATAAATTTGCTTCTAAATGTTATTTATCAACCATCACCTTACAATCATCATCACGATTCATATTTTTCTCCACCGGCAAACCAAGATAAATAAACGGTATTTTAATGGCCGTACACCCAAATAAACCCGCATGCTCTTCAACCTCTCTAAAGTAAACTCCAACTCCAATTAATTTACTTTTTGTAGATTAATTTTTAACTCGAGGCTAAGGGTGTGTTTGGAAAAAAAAATAGATGTTAGTTGGTAACGGGTAACTGACAGCTAGTAGCTGGTGGCAGGTAGCGAGTAACTAATAGCGGGAAGTTGTAGCTTTTATTTGTTATATGAGTGTTTGATAAAAATAGTTGTAAGCTTTTGAAATATATAAAATTACATAAAATGACAATTGATTAAAAATAAGTAAACATATAAATATATTTTTAAGAGTAATTATGGAAATTGATTTCAAAAGTTCAGTAGTTTTTTTTTTTTTTTAAATTCGGTGAAACTGATTGGCAATAGTTTTCCAATAGTTTTATATCAACATTCGGTGAAACTGATTGGCCAAAAGTCATTGATGAATTTCGTGTCCCGTCCAAAAAATAAATTCTTAAAAACTAATTTAAACATAACGATTTGAAGAAAAAGTTGTACAGAACGAATTTAAAAAAATGTAACGGTGTGCTTAAAATTTTTGTTTCATATAACTAAAACTAACTTGTAAATAAAAAAAAAAAAAATAAGATAAACATTACAAAAGCAATTAAAAAAAAAAAAGCCATAGACCTAATCGTCAAAGGGGTCAAAACTTATGACAAATTTGTAAAAAGAACAAATTGGCTAAGTGAGGGAAAACTTATAAATCTGCAATAGCACATCATAGTACTCTATTTTGAGCAACTTCATTACGTGGTTGCTTCAAGACATAAAAATGTAAAAAGTGACTTTTTGCCTTTTTGGATACATACAAATTAATTAGTTAGCTAATAATCGTTTTCACCCGTGTTGTGTACTCAATGTTAGAATCAGAAATCGATGTTTTAGAGGGCAAAGGGCTGCACTTGACAAGTATGCCAATAATATAAATCAAATACATATGAACATACAACGAAATACTTCTATAGCACAACTAAATACTACTTTTATGCAAAACACAAATCCTAAACATTCCCGTAATATATAGACACAAAGTTAAAAAGATTCATTATTGTTCAAGAAATTAATTCATCTTGAAACAACAATCATGAGCTTTAAATATACCATCACTAGGACTTGCATCATTCCTATTGTTTTGATGTAAATATATGTCTTCTATAAGGGTCCCAAGAACCCCTATTTCTTGTTATCTACCGTTTTTCCATGAATAAGTATTTATCTACTTGATTCGTTTTACAACTATACAACACGAACCAATGGGTTGATCATGAGTATTTCATATGGTTTCATATTATGATACTTTGCTTTTTGGCGTGGAAGAAAGTTGATAGATCATGTATGCTTGTTTTAGCAATAAGAAGGTGAAAATTCACAAGTGAGGTTTCATGTTCAAGTATGGGCATCACCTTCCTTGTTGGTGCAGGTGTTGGTACTGATACTGATGTGGATGCTGGTGTTGGCACCGATACTGATATACTGGACTGAGAATGTGTGATAGATCCAAGTGCTTTTCGAGACAATAAACTGATAACTTTACGGCTCTGGCTACCATTATTCTTTATTTCCCCTAACATAACATGATAACATCGAAAAACTTATGTCAAAAGTGCACATTTCATGAAAGCAAAACAAGAATCAAATTCCAAAATGACGATGTACGTAAGATTTTGTCAATCATGTCAAAAAAAAAAAAGCACATACATACCGTTATAATCCAAGGGTTTTGCAGAAGCAGACAAATGAACAAGAATAGGAGTGATGATAGTGAGAGCTGCCCAAAAGAACAATATAACAAGAAAGGTTCTACCCAACATTTTCATCAACAAGATATCTATGAAAATTTTGTTGGATGGTTTTATATGACAAAATCTTCGAAACGATGTCTAATTGAAGACCCTTTGATAAAGATGGTTTCTTTTTTCTAGAAATAAAATTCCCAAATCCAAACCAATATTGTTATAATGACATGTACATCTTGCATTTGCACTTGTACATAGCTCTGGATCTAACAATTCCATCTTTAGGGAAAAGAGTAGAAAGAGACCATGACTAATATAATGAGATTAGTTGTAAGAAATGCTAATTATTAAAACAACTACTCAATTAACAATATTTTTTGGAATTGAAAAAAAGTAGTACACTCACTTTCTATCGTTGGTAGTTGAAAAGTGGTTGTACCAATCACATAAAACTCTCCATAGCATCTCATACACTTTTCACACAACACTAACACATATAACAAGGGTATTTACGTCTTTTCACAGTCTCCCCGCCAAAAACTACAATTTTTATCCTATTTGATGTATGAAATGATACAAATATTGCAAATAAGCCAGCAGACAGTATTATTATTATTAGGAAAACATGTCATCTTAAAAGGGAACATATTTTTTTTGTTTCTAAAGTGTTATAAACGAGTGATACTTTATAAAGAAAGAAAAAAAAAAAAAAAAAAAAAAAGTTACTTCTAATCCTATATTGAACCCTACTCAACTGCCTTCTTCAACCTCGGTGAATGGGTGAACCACCAGCACTACCGCCAGGCGACTTCCTCTCACCGTATTTCTGTTAAAAAATTAAATATATTTTTTATATTTGTATTTGATTAAAAAATAATAATTTGATTATTATTACCTGTTTCCCAGTGGTAAATGGGACATATTTGTATTTAATCATGTGCATGATTTGGCGTTTCATTGTGAGAGCGAATAAAACGATCCAATAGCAAAGCAGAATTGGCCAGAAAACAGGAACATCAAATAGAGAAAAGAATGTCATCAAGAAAGCTACCATGAAAGCCTTTGTGATTGCATACCTGTAATTTTCAAACAAGATCTCTATATCAGAATCCAACATTTAAGAAATCGATTACTTTTAAGTGATTGAGGAAACCCTAAACTAAACTCACCAAAACTTGAACTCTGGAAGACGACGAATGAAAGGCCTAAATTCATCGGATTCTTTTGTGGGAAGTGAGGCTCCATCAAGAACTTCAAGCTCTGGATCAACTTTTGGTGAGAGGAATCCAATTAACAGGTTTAAGATGTAAATCCCGAGTCCATAAGAGATGATGTAAAACCCTTCGAGGTAATAGACTCTCAACACATAAATGGATGCAACACCGAGTGTCCCTAGCCACCTATGAACAGGAAGAGGTGTCGATTTGTCGAGATAAAACTGAAACACTCTTGAGAATTCACTTTTCCATTTTGCTACTGGTGCCATTGGGGAGGTGGAATCAGCCCCTAATCCTTCCATGGAGAACAAAGTTTGATCTTTCTGTAGTCGGAATGCAAAACATAAGAGATAATCAGCAAGAACAATAGTTATGAAGATGAATCCAATTACTTATCAAACTCGATGAATCTGTCAAATTAAGCAGTGAGATGATGATTTTACAGGACCATTAAAATGTAAAACGACGTACTCCAATTCTGGAAACTAGATTGAAATTTTTAAAACCGGCATTAACAGAATTAGGTCAACGAAAATGGTTTGTGTTAAGATAGTGTTAATAATTTGTTGATCATATATGGAAAGCGAATCAAACAAAAAATTGTTTACCCCTTTGCAGATGTTATCAAGCGATAGAAGAGGTCGAATCCTGAGTATTGAATGATTAGCACGTGAAGGGTGAATCGATCATGAAAATAGGTGAAGTGAGAGTTTAAGAGCTCAAACAACCCAGGGGAAATCGTTGTTTTAGGGTTCTTAGCGTTGTACCTGATACGATAATTATCCAGAATCGTAAAACCGAATGGGATTGCACCCAATTTGCTTGGTGTTATTCGGATTTTAGAATTGGACCATGTAATTTGGTATTCTATGTTCCGGTTGTTGCAACAACCCGACCCGAAAAATACGTCGATGTGATAAGGATATTATATTAAAAAGCTTGAAATAATTTCAAAATATTGATCAGTTTTATCACTTGAAATATATATGCCACTTCGTTACCCCTCCGCCACTTCATCCACCGCATCTCAAATGTGGTCGTCACAAAAAGAAAAAAAGAAGAAATAAAATAGGATATAATTTGTCAGTAAAGAAACCACGTCATCTTAGCTAAGGTTATCCGTTATACCCACTACTAATCACTATATTGGTGGGTTATCCGTTATACCCAATACTAATCACTATATTGGTGGGTGTCACGTCATCACCACTAACCACCACTAAAAAGTTGGTATACCCACCATTATATCTCTTATTTTAAATATATATATATATATATATATATATATATATATATATATATATATATATATTATTGTAGAGAGAGATAGAGACAAGAAGAGAGAAGAAATCTGATTGGACGTGCTCTTCCGTTCTCCCCACTACAAAGAACAACGACCACTAAGGTCTAGGGTGGTGTGCACTAACCACAGTCGTGGCCACCTAGACCACGACCCATTTCATGGCATGCATACCAGACGGTCTAAGAGGCGATTGTAACACCAGTTCAAGGTAATAGTTCTCTTGAGTTTATGGTAATTAAAGTCTTTAATTGTGATTTTTGTGTTGGCCACGTGGTGAACCATGCACCATGACATGGTCATAGCAGGAGGAAACACACATCTTTCACGTGCAACACGACGTGGCAAGAGTCTTGTCATGATGTGGTGACCGCCAGAGTGCAAAACTTTAATTTTACGGATTTGGGTCTTATTTAAGGGATGTGTTGGCTAGGGTTTGTACACCCTCAACCTTCATACCTCTCTTTCAACCTAGAAGCACCCATAGCCACCATTGTTGAGTTTTTGAAGTTTTGTGGTGATTTTTGGTAAGAAGAAGAAGAATAAGGCATCCATTGTGTGAAGATCCAGCAAGGAAGTCCATCCTCCACTTTCTAGCTCATCTTCTAGACCATTGACTTTTTAAGTTTCAACCTTCATATTTCATTTGTAACATCCCAAATTTCAGAAGTCTGAGTTACGGGCTTAAAGTGTAAATTGAAGAAGGGACTCGACGAGTAGGAATACTTACTCGCCGAGTCGGAGCGGGTTTGGATCGCGAATTAAGTGACCAACTCGCCGAGTCGAAAGTTGGACTCGATGAGTTGGTGCTGGAATGAGAAAACCCTAATCTTAGGGTTTGCACCCTATTTAATGGACTTTATGTACCTCTCACAGCCTCCTAATCCCCCAGAGAGTTCCAGAAAAACCCTAAATCCGTGTGAGACTTCATTATTGAGGAGTTTGGGGCTTGGAAGAGGAAATTGGTGGAAGGAGCTTGAGAAATTGGAAGCTAGCTTCAAGGGGCTTGTATAGATCTGGGATCTACATCAGTTTTGGGCACATCTTTGAGGTAAGGAGCCCTTATCTTGAGTTATTCCCTTTTAGGTTCATCCTTGGTCGTTGTTTTGGGAATTCTTTAACTTGTTTGAGATCTATTTCAAGTTTGGAGTTCAGATCTAGGCTTGTGATGGTCTATAATGTGATAAAGTATATGTATAGGAGTTGTTGGTGAAGCCCCTTAGTCCTTAACCCTAGCCATAGTGTGTTTTGGGCCTATATCTCTTTGGTTTCACGTAAAGTTTGCAACTTTATGTGAGGGTTAGATTATGGAGGGGTAGATCTATGGTTTGGAGCCCCTGCATGGCTTGAAAAGCCTCTGAAGGGATTGAGAACTGGAGAGACTCGGCGAGTCACATGGGTGTACTCAACGAGTTGTATGAACATGTGTATGGACTCAACGAGTTGGATGAACAACTCGGCGAGTCTGTTGAAGATTTCCTTGGACTCGGCGAGTCTATTCTTGGACTCGGCAAGTCAGGTCGCAGAACCCCAACTTGTTTTGGTTAAGCTTTGGATCTGTGAGTCGGTTGGCTACTCAGTGAGTTAGTCAAGACGGAATTCAGAGATCGTTCAACTCGACGAGTCCTGGGGTGACTCGGCGAGTTGAGTCGTGTTATGGGAATTTTCTGAGTATAAGAACTCGACGAGTCGGCGGGTTGACTCGTCGAGTAGGGTCAATCAGGAAGGTTGACTTTGACCAAGACTTTGACTAAATTTGACTTAATTGACCCCCAGGAAGATAGTTTAGTCTAAGTGTTGTTATTGGTATTGGTTGCTCAGGGAGCTAAAGGAGCAGCATTTCGGAGAGTTGTCGGTTAGCAGCCGAAGGGTTATCGGCCGAGTTCAGCAGTTCAGGTGAGTTTTCCTTCCAGTAGGAATGGGTCTACGACCACAATGCCGACCCGTCTAGTTAGCAGTAGGTTCCGGACTTCGGTCCGATGCAGTAGTTCAGTGTGCTTGATGTCTTTGTGATTCAAGCCTGTTTTTGTGTTATGTGTTTCGGACTTCGGTCCAATGCAGTATGCAGTATATGTGTTTATGCTAGTAGTTATGATTATGCTATTCCATGTTCAGCCAGTTAGTCCAGACTTCGGTCCGATGTAGTTAGCCGGACTTCGGTATGATGCAGTTAGACGGACTTCGGTCCAATGCAGGGGACAAGGCCCTAGTTAGTCCAGGCTTCGGCCCGATGCAGTTTCTGGACTTCGGTCTGATGCAGGGGGCAAGGCCCCGGTTAGTCCGGATATTGGTCCGATGCGGTGGGCAAGGCCCAGTATGTGGTTTATATGTAATTGTATGATATGTGGTAGTTTGGGGGAGCTCACTAATCTTTGTGCTTACAGTTTCAGTTTTGGTTTCAGGTACTTCCGCAAGCAAGGGGAAGGGCTCAGATTGATGGCATGGCACACACCACAGTTGCAGTTTATTCCTGGGAGTTTTATTTAGATATTTCGACATGATATTAACTTCAGTTTTGAATTGATACATTTATTATGGCATTTTGAGACGTACGATTCATGGTTTTATTATCAAATAGTTGACGTTGCGATTTTTAGTAATATTAAAACAAAAAATGTTGGGTCGTATTTTTGGAATGTTTCAAGTTGGTATCAGAGCCTTGGTTTGAGGGATTTAGGCACGCTTTCGAGTGTGTCAGAACTCAAACTGAGGAAATGATAAAAGATTTTCAAGAGAGAAACGTTTTTGAAAAGAATTTTTTAAAAAGAACTTAGAAAGAAAAAGAGTTTTCTTAAAAAGACAAAAGGGTGTGGTGCATGCGATCAGCCGAGCTCAAGTAAGTACTCCCAAATTACCCATACAAGTTTATGTTATGATTATCAATTTCAGTAGAACAACATGCTAGAATAGGAATGAGGATCTAGGGATGATGCCTTATGTGTCTGCTATATATGTGTTTCATTTTTATGAGAATTGCATGCTAGTATTGAGTAGACAGTAGTAGGATAGCCTGTTTAGGTTATGCCTGATAGTATGAGCTTAGCATTGTATGCTAGTACAGTTTCTTGATATGAGGATAGAATTTCTTGAGTAGTTTCCTATGTTTGAATGTTTCTTGCTTTGTGCTTTATGGGACTCCGAGTGATGGGAGTTAGCCATTAGGTGAATACGACAAGTCACATGTAATCAGGGTTGAATAATCTTAGAGTATTGGATTTGACCCTATTGGGCAGCTCTCGTTTGAGTCTAACCGTTGTAGGGATAAGTCCCTTACTCGAAGGATTATCCGAGCCTCGCTACATGTGATGGTATTCAGGTGATGGCTAATTGGTATTACAAGGAGACCTGCAACAGCTGAGGATTGGTTTGGGTAGAGTCAGATATGTCCCTAGTGCGAGCCGAGGATGAGAGTAGTAGAAATCAGTAGTAGTAGAAGGGACTTGGTGGAGTCGAGGCAGTTCTTGAGGAAAGTACGGATAGATGTGGAAGGTAGTATGGGCTCGTATTACTGGAAGCAGAGGATCCGTACTCAATTCAAGAGGGGTCAAGACAAAACCAGGGAACTTGTAGAGTGTGTATAGATCCTTCAGCGATGAGTATTATGATAGTTAATGTGATATGTTTTTAGCATGGTGACATTGCGCGGGATATCAGTTGGCAGTCCAGGTGTCGGGGAGGGATCTGGCTCGAGCTCTGGAGTCGGGCATCTTGACGATCAGATGATAGATTTTATTTCCGCAGAAATTATGCGCAACATCATTGATCAGACTCATGTGATACTCGGTTCAGTCAGGGAGGCCATCGTGGAGCTTTTGGACAGTCGACTTAAGGCCATTAGGGTCGGGACAGTTTCAGGACAGTTTGGGGCTCGTCTAGAGCCCGATTCTTATGGATCCCAGGGATCCATCAGGTAGGGGAATCCCATTTTTAGCACTTGCCATCAGGGGTCGGGAGTGGGTGGTACACCTTACCCCAAAAAGAGTTCCCTGCAGGATTGGATTGCTACGGAGGTTTCACGAGCCCTCCGTGAGGAGTTACTCGACACCATCGGACGTGTCACTGATAGAGTGATCGACGGGATAGAAAGGCGGACCTCAGCTATCCGGGCAGTGGGTGAAATGGTCAAGGTGACCCGAGAGCAGGAGATGGGTTCTGATAGTCAGTTGAGAAAGAGGAAGCGAGTTTCTGGTCTGGCTCAAAAATCTAGACAGTCAGACGCTACCATGGATAGTGTCAAGGACCCGAGGAGTCAGGATGGTTGCTTAAGGAAGGAAGGGACACGGGGTGATGTGCGCAGTAGGTCCAAGTGTGGAAGATGCAGGTGGATGGGTCACAAACGTCAAGAATACACGGTAGAAGTAGAGTTATTACATCGTTGTCATCAGCCTGGCCATGTTAGGGCGAATTGTCCCGTTCAACGGTTGGGACAGCCTTGGTGTCATGGTAGGCTTCGAAAGACAAGGGGATTCGAGGGTTCTTCAGAGCAGGTTATATATATATATATATATATATATATATATATATATATATATATATATATATATATATATATATATATATATATCTGTCAACTTATGTTATGGTGTTATTGTTAGGGTACTACATCGATGTTAGTAGGTGCATATATTGGAGTACTATATTATCTGCTTGTGATTGAGTTATATGCCATCTACATACCTTGGATTTTAGAATGGTAGTTGGAGGACGTCTCCTGTAGAACAGGTTACTTCGGATGAGTAACTGTAGCATGTATGTGTAAGACTCGGAAGTGTCTCACTACTTTCGAGAAGGTGTCATTCGAGTATAGACCAGTTATAACCCCAGCAGTGGTAAGCTAGAATTTCCAGTGGAGTAGCTAGAGGACGATAGGGTTGTGGTTCGAAGACATTTCCCCCTTAAGCGTAGGTTCTCAGGATGCAGTCACTGAGGCAAATGCAATTAGGGATTTAAAGGTGCTCCGTTAGTTGGCAAGATTTGTTCAAGTCTAGTAAAGGGTTAGTTGGAGCGCCATCAAAGGTAAACGTGGTTGATAGCAGATCGAATCGTTAGATGATAGGGAGGATTGGAAATCCTTTTGAACTATGAGTTGTAAAGGAATTAGCCAGATCGAAGTGGGGGAGAACCCTTCAAGTATTTGGGGCGGTAGTATGATAAACTTAGAAAGGGTTAGTAATCTTTGAGAAGGAAGGGAAAGCAGTCTAAGAGGTCATGTGGGTAAAGAAGTACAGGAGTTGGGAGTTTGGGAACTTCCCAACATTGAGTTCATGTAATTGATATTAGTGGGCGATTGGGTTTGGAAACCCAGCGAAAGATTTTCTCGACAGAAAGAAAATGTAGCAAGGATGTAAGACTACCAGATAGTTGTAGCCTTGGATAACTGAGGGATGGTTGTGGAAATCGGGTTAGGGGATCGCTAGCAGGACTCGGGTGATTCAGGTTGCCCTCAGAATAGTAGTTAGTGATAGATTCAGTAGGGAGAGTGTTGTAAGTCTGCGGGTGTAGCCGTAGCATTCACTAGCAGTCAGATAGTATTAGAGTGTTGTAAGTTTGT